GTGTCTGTCTCTCTCCAGGGAAAGTACATGCTCTATGGCAAAAAACTAAAAAGAAAAAGAAAAAGAAAAAAGCCACATCGATCCCTATTCTCTCTCTCTCTTTTTTTTTTCTTTTGGAGAGGTTTTTGCTATATAGGGCGTGTGTGCTCACCAGACAGACAGAGAGAGACAGAGAGACAGAAAGCGAGAAATCACCCCCCAGGGGGATGGCCACGCCGCAATCCCTTCTCCTCCATTCTCCTCTCGAGATCTTGGGCACGCATGCACACGCGCCCGGCATGAGTTTAAGCCACTGGGTCCGGGATGCGAACCGCAGTTGACTACATGGGAATCCAACGACATAGCCATTACGCTAACTGCTGGACCCATTGATCCCTATTCTCTATCAAAGACAGTGTGGAAGAATTTCCCTCGGGATAATGGGGATGAGACGGGGTGTGGGGCAGCCACTGACAGACAGTCCTCACTTGTGTGGGTTGGGTGACCCCAGTTGTGAAGCCCATGGGTGGTGAAAGCATGAAGAAGTGGGTATCTGTGGGCGCAGCGTAAGAAGCAGGGGTCCTGGGCAGTGGTGAGGAGCTCACGGCTGTGATCTACCTGGTAAGGACTCCAGCAGCTCCTGCACGACCTCGGTGTGCCCAAAGTGGGCAGCCACCACGGCCGGGTTGTCATCGGTGGGCTCCGTGGGCAGCTCGACGCATCTGTCGGTGAGCAGACAACGCACCATCTCCAGGTCGCCGTAGGCCGCCGAGATGCTTAGAAGCTGGAGCTGGTCGAAGAGAACAGAGCTTCAGGGACATGACACGAAGTCTGTGCGGAATTCCCAGGCACCCACTCGAAGTTGTCCAAGACCCCTGGGCAAGTCTTGGGTGGCACTGCCCGGGGTGGGAGCTCTGTAATGTGCAGTTGTGACTCATTTAAAGTGAGAGGTGGTGGGGCCAGCAGGGGGCGTGGTGGGTAAGGAAAGTGCTGCACTCCCACATGGTCGACCACAGTTCGAGTCCGGGACCCGGTGGCTTGAAACTCATGCCGGGCGCTTGTGCTTGCAAGTCCAAAATCCCAAGAAGATTTGGCTGACTGTGGTTTAAGTTCTGAATCATGCCGCGCATGTGCGTGTGCATGCCCAAGATCCCGAGAGGAGAATGGAGGAGAAGGGACTGTGATGTGGCCATCCCCCCTGGGGGATGATTTTCACTTTCCCTCTCACTGTGTCTGTTTCTCTCTCTCTGATGAGCGCATGCCTCCTAAGGTGAAAACATCTAAAAAAATAAATGACTAAATATATAAATAAAGGGAGGGGTGGTGAGGTCAGCAGGTGGTGTGGTGGGTAAGATGCTGGACTCCCACGTGGTGCACCGTGGTTTGAGTCCCGGACCGGGCAACTTGAAACTCATGCCAGGTCCATGTGCGTGCATGCCCAAAATCCCAAGAGGAGAAGGGATTGTGGTGTGGCCATCTCCTTTGGGGGGTGATTTCTTGCTTTCTGTCTCTTTGTTTCTCTAGCGAGTGCACACGCCCTGCAGCAAAAATCTCTCTAAATAAATAAATAATGTGAGGGACCAGCAGATGGCATAGCAGTAACGTTGCTAGACTCCCACATGGCTGACTGTGGTTTAAGTCCCAGATCATGCTGGGCACATGTGTGTGCATGCCCAAGATCCTGGAAGAAGGGAGGAGAAGGGATTGTGGCATGGGCATCCTCTCTGGGGGGTGATGTCTTACTTTCCCTCTCACTGTATCTGTCTGTCTCTCTCTCTCTCTGGAGAGTGCATGCACCCTAAGGCAAAGATGTCTAAAATATAAATAAATAAATAAAATGAGAGAGGGTGGGACCAGCAGATGGCATGATGGGTAATGTGTTGGACTCCCACATGGTCAACCATGGTTTGAATCCCAGACCTGGCAGCTTGCTTTTTTTTCACTTTCCCTGTATCTCTCGCTCTCTCTGTCTCTCTCTGGTAAGTACACGTACCCTATAGAAAAAATTAAAATAATAATAAATAAAAAAAAATTGGGGAGAGGTTTTTTGCTATAGGACACGTGCACTTGTCAGAAAGACAGAGAGAGACAGAGAGACAGAAAGCGAGAAATCACCCTCCAGGGGGGATGGCCATGCTGCAATCCTTTCTCCTCCATTCTCCTCTCGGGATCTTGGGCACGCCCGCACATGCGCCCGGCGTGAGTTTAAGCCACCGGGTCTGGGACTCGAACCGTGGTCGACTATGTGGGAGTCCAGCGACATTGCCATTACGCCAATAATAAATAAAATTTTTAAAATTAAAAAAGAAATAAATGAGAGGTGGACAGATGAGCCAGTGGTATGATGGTTTAGGCTCTGGACCCCACGTGGCTGAGTGAATGGTTCGAGTCCCAGATACAGCAGCTTAAAAACATGCCAGCACATGTGTGTGTGGGCCCCAAATCCTGAGAGCAGAATGGAGGATGGATGGCCGGCCCACCTGGGGAGTGCTCTCTCACTGTCTCTATCTCTGTTGGTGAGTGCATGTGCCCTATAGCAAACTAATGATAAAATAATAATAATAATAATAATAATAAAGTAAAGTAAAGTGAAAGGTGGGGGGGTGAAATCCCACATGTGACTTATTTATTTTATTTATTTTAGGGAGATTTTTGCTATAGGCTGCATGAGCTTGCTGGAGAGACAGAGAGACAGAAAGAGACAGAGAGAGAAAGTGAGAAGTCATCCCCCCAGGGAGGATGGCCCCACTGCAATCTCTTCTCTTCCGTTCTCTTCTTGGGATTTTGGGCACACACGCACACGTGCTCAGTGTGAGCTTCAAGCCCCCGTGTCTGGGACTCGAACCGCAGTCAGTCACGTGGGGGTCCAGCACCTTAACCATTATGCCACCTGCTGGCCCCCCACAAGTGATTTCGAAGATGCAGTCGAGAAGGCACGCCATCTCATCCAAACGTCTATGCCGACCACAGGTTAAATAAAATCGTATCAAATGTCACCCCTTTCTTTTCCTACGCTAAACGGCTCCTGGAAAACTGGACATTCCGTGTGTGGCTCGTGTCCCATTTCTGCTGGCCGGTGTGGCTCTCTGCCCTCTGCCTTCTGGGGACGGGGCTGTGTGGGCTCCTCCTGGCACGGAGGCCCAGCTTAGTGGCCATCTAGGACATGGCGAGTGAGCCAGGCTCACGGCAGGACCATCCTGCAAGCTGGCACAAAGACAAGGTGACAGATGAGGGGACAGATGGGAATCCAGGGCCGAGATCCTCTAGCAACAGGAAATGGGATTTTTTTTTTTTTTTTTTTTTTTGGTATAGGGTGCATGTGGGTTCTCCAGAAAGCCAGAGAGAGACAGAGAGACAGAAAGCGAGAAATCACCCCCCAGGGGGGATGGCCACACCACAATCCCTTCTCCTCCATTCTCCTCTCAGGATCTTGGGCACGCACGTACATATGCTGGGTGTGAGTTTAAGCGACCAAGTCTGGGACTCGAACCACTGTTGACTACATGGGAGCCCAGCGACATAGCCATTATGCCAACTACTGGTCCATGATTCTCTTTTTTTTCCCCCTGTTAAATTTTCTTTTTATTTTTTGCTATAGGGTGGATGCACTTGTCAGAGAGACATGATGGGGGGCGGAGGGGATGGCCATGCCACAACTCCCTCTCCTCCATTCTCCCCTTGGGCTTTTGAGCATGCGCACACACACTCCTGGCGTGATTTTCAAGCCTCCAGGTCTGGAACTCAGACCACAGAGTCGGCCACGTGGGATCCAGCACCTTAACCTCCACACCACCTGCTGGCCCACGAAATTTATTTTTTAGGGACACATCACAGTTGTGCATATTAGTGGGGTACTATGTGATGCTTCAGCACAAGAATACAGTGTGTGAGGTTATATTGGGGTCATTAGAATAGCCGTTATTTCAAGCATTTGTCATCATTTGTGTTGGGGGGACCAGCAGTTGGCGTAATGGCTATGTCGCTGGGCTCCCATGTAGTCGGCTGCAGTTCGAGTCCTGGACCCGGTGGCTTAAACTCACGCCGGGCACGTGTGCGTGCGTGCCCAAGATCCCAAGAGGAGAATGGAGGAGAAGGGATTGTGGCGTGACCATCCCCCCTGGGGGGTGATTTCTCGCTTTCTGTCTCTCTGTCTCTTTCTGTCTTCCTGGTGAGCACATGCGCCCTATGGCAAAAACCCATTTTTAAAAATAATGTATGTCTTTAGTTTATTTATGCATGCTTTGTTCTTGGTTATAAAATCTGAGGCTGGGGACTGGCAGGTGGCATGGTGTTGAGGGTGCTGGATTCCCACATGGCTGACTATAGTTCGAGTCCTGGACCTGGTGGTTTTCTCTTTCTTTCTCCCTCCCTCTCTCATCAAATTAAAAAAAAATTAATTAAATAGCATAAATACTTATTTAAAAAAAAATCAACAACAACCTGAACCTGGAGACCCGCAGATGGCATAGAGATTATGTCATTGGACTCCCACATGGTCAACTGCTGTTCGAGCCCCAGACCTGGTGGCTTTAAACTCACACCAGGTACGTGTGCGTGCGTGCCCAAGATCCAGAGAGGAGAATGGGGGAGAAGGGATTGTGGCGTGGTCATCTCCCTAGAGGGTGGTTTCTCACTTTCTCACTGTCTCTGTCTCTCTCCCCAGTGAGTATACATGCCCTAAGGCAAAAACCTCAAAAATTAAATGACAAAAAAACCCCAACAAACTTGATCCCGTATTTGCTGATGGCCTGGAACATTCCCCACCTGGAGAAGGATCAGTGGACCTTTCCTGAAAGTAAACTCATGTCTCACCTCGGAGCATGTTCTTTGGACTCAGTAAACATCATGGGCAGGCACCCCCAGACTTGGGGGCCCTCTGAAACAGAAGGAGACCAGGACAGAGACCTGTGAACGTGGCCGCTTGTGAGCCTGTTCTTGCTTTGGGGTTGAGACTGTGAGACTCACCCGAGGAGGCCCGTGGACCTCGGGCCTCCAAATCATGAGTTGAACAAATCTCTACTCTCTGAAATAACCAGACTCAGCTATTTTCTGTTATTGGTAATAAAATGGACTAAAACTCAGGCCAGCAGGTGGCGTGGAAGTTGAAGCACTGGACTCCCACGTGGCCGACCCTGGTTCGAGTCTCGGGCCTGGCGGCTTGCTTCCTCACTAACCCTCTCTCCCTCTCTCTGGTCAAATTGAAGAAGAAGAATACATACATAAAATTAAATAAAGGATTCTAAATGTTTTTTTAATGGACTAAAACACACAGTTGCATTGGAACTTCTTCACAGCCGTGCACGGGACAGACCCATGCTTCCATCTTAGGGGTGGGGAAGTGAACACCTGCCCGTGGTGGGGGGTTCACAGCCCACACACCTCCTAGGATCCAATGCAGTCGGTCCAGCTGACTCCCTAGCCCGTGTCCTCTCTTCCGTCCAAGACTTCCTGGAAAAGGGAGGACTTGGGGGACGATTCAGGCTTTGGGAGTGCAGTGACCGAGCTGGCCACAGGGGGCGTTGACGTCTTCCAGGTAACGGCAGGGAGGAGGCGAGGGGCTGGAATGACCCGCAGGACAGTAGAGAGCCCTGTATTCCCTCTGACCAGAAATGAGAACCCCAAGTTCTGCTCCTCTGCCCCGGCTGTTCCAGGAAAGCACTTTCACTACAGAGAAAACCCACAGGCATTGATTAAATGATTCACCCTCCGCGCCCGACGAGCCGCTGTCTAGACTCCAGTCAGTTGCGGGCTTAAAAGCGCCATCTTCCCGAGGTGGAGTGATGTCACAGA